TCCCATAGGTTACAGAGATAATTAATTAAATTAATTACCACCAGCTATAATCGAACCGTTGACCTCGTCTGTGGAGGGTTAGGCGCCTAGACCACTAGGCTATGGGACCCTAACCCTTCGTAATAATTATGTCATTAAATTTATTCAATATATAAAAGAAAAGCATTTAGAAAAAAATATATATACTTATAGTATATGCTGTATCTATATTTGTGTACTACATTACAATGAAACATTTCGTAATAATTATGTCATTAAATTTATTCAATAAAGAAAAGCGATTAGAAAATTATTCTCTTTCTCATATTTTACATTTACTATATTTGATATACACATGACAAAAAAAAAAAAAAAGAAACTTGTAGACATATCTTACGTTTGCCTTTTTTTTCATGATGATAAAATGTACTTCATATAAACATCAATATCCTTCTGAAGCTTTTGTGCTTGATGGAAAAACGTATAAGACTTGCGCAACTTGTTTAACTAATAAAGCTAAGACAAGAGCTAATAAAAAGACTATATCTGATCATAATCAAACTATTGAAACAATTCCATTAAATGATTTAAATGAATATGTTATGGAGTTAATAGAAAGTCTTGAGAATGACATGTGATTATCTTTTACAATATATGTTGATGTCAATATGTTTGATCAAAATTGCAATATCAAGTTAATTGCCAATATGATTGTTAACAATATTAAAGAAGGTGATGGTTATTCCTAGGTGTAAGTATTAGAAAAAGTTAATAAGTTTTTAAAAAAATAAAATTTAATATGTGCTTAGTTACATTTTTATTGGAATTAATGAGACGTTTTGTTAAATTTTTAAAGAGTAAAAACAGCACCTCGTATGTCAACTTGTTATAAAAATGTCGGCATTTTCTACTTTGGATGTTCTCAATCAAATGAACTAGCATGTGATTACAAGGAATCAAATTGTCCAAGAATAGAGCATTTTAATTGTTATAGAACACTAATTATACATATTGATATGCTTGCGGCTAAGGTGACGATAAAACTTAAACATGAAATTTTTCATGAAAGATTGGTTGATGTTTCAACACCTGAAGAAATCAAACAAGCAATTCAAGAAAATATTCACATGGATCCTGTATAACTTAGAATGTATCTTTATAATAAGTTTGATATTTTGAAAATTACATTGCAGCAAATTAGATATTGGTGGTCATTTTTTACTCAAAATTTTTATAAGACTGATAATGATCATATTAATTCAGCATATTCTTTTCTCAAATCAAACCAAGCCGCAGGTTGTGAACTTTGTTATGAGTTAATGACTAGTCAAATAACTGCGATTGGGTTTATTACACCCTTATATGGAAAAATTAAACAAATGTCTGAAATTTATTGTGATGCCATTTACAAAACTGTGAAAGGATGATTCAAATTGTATAGGCTTATTTGTAATGTTAAGGGTGCAGGGTTTCTATTGGCTTATTTAATTTTAGACACTACTAAAATTTCTGATGAGAAACCACAAAATGAAAAACAAACACATGCTCTAAGTAGTTTTTTTAAGTCAATTTGCAATAGAGGTTTATATCCTGACTACTTTTACACAAATAAGGACTTTTCAGAAATTAATGCTGCAAAGCAAATTTGGTCTAATGCTGATATACAGCTTTGCCAGTGGTACATGGAAAGGGCAATTAGTCAAAAACTCAAGTGTCATAAAAAGGTTCAACGTATTCAGTATCGACCTGAAGATGCTGCTACGGAATTTGATTTTATAAATCTAAATTTTAAGCCAAATCTGAAAGAACTAGAAAATGAAATCTGTCCTCAACATCTTTAACAAAAGGTTCTTGACTTTATTAAAATGCATTTTAACCAACATTCTAAATTTCCAGTTAATGCAAGTGGACTGTTTTTAACTCCAAATAAAATTCGCAAAAATGCAGTACATAAAATGTATAAATTTTGCTTTACCAATAGTCTTACATTATTATGGTCTTATCTTTGGTTTTTATGATACAAAATGGAACGTTGGTGCCTTTGGGCTTGTTCAGTAAGATTAACAGTTCCTATTGGAAAGACAAATATGTTGATCGAAACACATTGGAAAGTGCTTAAATATTGCTATCTATATCATTATAATCGACCTCAGTTAGACTATCTTGTATGGGTAATTTCTTCTCGTGTACTACATGATCAAATCATTTGCTATCAGCAAATGTGTTTTGGCTAAATAGTTCCATCATGGTTTGATGATTTTAAAAGACAGTGGAAGTTGCTTTCATCTAAACCCATTGATATAGATGTGAAAAACATTATATAATTGATTTAACCCGTTGGGTATATAGTTGTAAGTCATTTCTTAATAGCAGATTTCTTATCTGCAAACATTTGGTCTGCCGTGTAATTGAGAAAGAAAAATTGCATAATTCTGAAGGTATTCGATTAGTGTATTCTAATTTTGAACAGAATACAGATTATCCATTTTTAACTTTAAGGAATAGCAGTTCCAATTTACAAAACCAGCATTTTAATAAACAAACTCTTAACGATCAACCTCTTAACAAACAACCTCTTAACAAACAACCTCTTAATGTTAATAATAAGCTATCAACACAAATGAACATTAAGAATGATTTAATTATTACTGATGATAATGATGAAAATATTGACCCCGACCTTCACCAACAATGCAAGTCCAAAATAGTAACATTAGAACGTCTTGTGAAGCATTTAAATGATGAATTATCGGCAAACAACCTGTGACATATAAAAAATGTTGTTGATAATATGAAGCATACGTTTACTATTATTGATGACATAGAATCATCTCAATGCAAAAAGCGACGTAGTAATACTTAGAGTCAATCAAAATTTTGGATGCTATTTTTACAGTAAAGGTTAGTTTTCTTATTAAAATATAGTTTATAATAAAACTTGATAATTTAATATATTTTTCAAATTCTAGCAGAATATGAACATTCAAAAATGATAACATTTGTAAATTGAAATATTATAGTTGTGAAATCTAAATTAGTGGAAATTTTTAAATTTTCTTGTTAAGAATATTCGGTCTTAGTAAGTAAGTAATTTTATAGTAATAAATAATTCAAATAAATTTTAATGAATTTTAATTTAACAACTTTTTATTTAGAGTTACTTTTAAGAACTTTATATTTCCTGACATCTCTGTGATCTTAATAATTCATTAAATGAAATTTAAATATAAAATGTTAAAAATTCTTAGATAAAAATTCTTAGAAGCTTGATTTTTTGCCTGAAAATAAAAGATTTTTAATTATATTACGAATATATGCTGTTTAACTTTTAAATATTATTTCTCAGTTCAGAAGTTCAAATTCATTATTAGTTTACAATTTTTTAAAATTTAGATCAATTGAAACTTAAGTTTATTCAAATTTCTAGACAAATTTCACATTTAGCATTATACTATCTCAATGCACATCAAAAGTTAATTTTTTTTCATAATGAATATGATGATTGTATAAATTAGAATTTTTACTTATTAGTGCAAATAGGCATAGAAGATTAGGCTCATAATTTATTTATTTAAAAATAGTATATAGTTAATTTGCACTATTACAAGTCTTTGGGTGATATTTAAATTTAAAAATCGAAATAGAATTTTAGCAAATATAAAGTAAATCGATCGATATAGTAATTAATAGTAATTACATATTAACCAATTGATTGAGTTATCAAATAAGAACTATTTAATTAATAATGTACAATGCAGTATCGTCCTTTAATTTATTAATTTTAAAATAATCATATACACTCATATGTACATATTAGGTAAATTAACTAAAATAATTAAATCCTAAAGCATAATTTATAGCACTTTATAATAGTAAAAATTTCAAGATGGTTTATTATTATATTAATGAGTTAAAGCCTTCTAAAATGGAATGATTTTAAAAAATTAATTTTTCACTTAATATAACTGATAAAAAAAATTTAGTATGTACGTATGTACGTACGTATATACGTATCAGGTATGTAATATTGTAAGATCATGTTATATAAGAAGTTCGATGATGCATAACTGTTATACAAAATGATGATTAATTTCGGAAATTTTGGACTATGCTCTGCCATTGTCCATATTTAATTAAAATAGAATTTTTTTTTAAGAAAGTAGTCATACAAATATGGGTAGCCTACTTACTACTAGCAGACAAAAAGACTAACAAAGAAACTCAACGGGCAATAATACGAGAGATTTGTAACAACAAGATTAACACATATGTCTGTGTATTAGGGGACTTTAATGCATTAAGTAACACAAACCTGAATACAAATAACAAAAATCGTAAAAATCAGGAGTATGACAAAACTCTATTAGAGTGGCTTAAAAATAGAGAATTGATAGACACTTTTTGTTATCTTTACCTACACAAGAAAGAATATATCTAGCAACGAGATAATCTGGCATCAAGAATAGATTACATATAGATAGGTGAAGAAATGAATAATCTTCTCTCTGAAGCTGTAATTGAAGATATAAATTTAATCACTGGAAGTGATCACAAGCTCATATGGTCCAAAATCAAAACCAGTGGTATACTAAATTATGGCAAACTTAAAAACAGAGGAGGTAAAAAAAAACCAACAAGAAGAGTTTTTCTTTATCACAAAGCCACAGAAGAAAATTGAGATTTGTATAGCAAGTATGTAGAAAATTTAATAAAAAAAAAGGAGTATAAGGGACCTCACAAGTCTTTGTATTGTTGTAACAAAAATATTAATATAGAATGGAACATTTTAAGTAATACAATTATAAAAGCAGAATGAAACATATACTATCAGTCAATATTCAAAAAACTAAAATCTAGGAGAAATTTTTTTTTTTTTTTTTTTGACGATCATATCACAACTTTATTTTATATTATAGAATTTACATTTATAATAAATGTAGAATCTATTTATAGCTATGCTATTTTAAACTAAAGTGTGGCTCACCCGGTTGCCAATTGGTACCTATGTGTGACCTGCCAAAGTAGAATTGACCTCGCTACTTCTTCTTTACCTACCTCAGATAAAGAATCTGCAGTTCATCAGCCTGGATCTACAGCCTGTCATGATCTATTTTAATTTTTATTCCAACTGGACCATCTTCCGGTTCAAATCCATTTATTCACTTTGTCTGTTACTGTATCAATTCTTTTTTTAAAGACCTCCCACCAGTTTTTTCCCTTCTTATCCCATTGGGCCTTCTCTCTGTCACGTTCGAAGGATCTTCAGGTCTAACTGCATTTTCCTTTTTTGAACTCCTATCTTTCCGGGGTCTTTTTTTTTTCTTTTTTTTGGAGTTAATTTGTAGCTCTTTTCCCATTTTATGACTTCTTCACAGCGTTGGAGCCAGATTTCTTCCTGGAAAAAGCTATGCCATTTGTCCCACCATTCGAGTATTATTGGTTCTATTTCTTTTCTGGTGATTTCTGTTGACTTAAGAGAGGCTGTAAGATCTTTTTCGATTAGTTTTCTTGCTAGATAATTTCTCTTTTTGTGCCTGTCCTCGATACTTCCACCCGCGAATGCTGAGTATATGTTGTCTTGCGAAATTTTCTTTTGAACAGGAGCGTCTAGGTTCCACCAGATTTCTTTCGCAATTGAATACTCTTTTTCAGACCAGTGGAATTCGTCAACTTCACATAATGTTAAATGTTCAAAATTCTCTTCTTTTTTCTTGCATTTTCGGCAGATTGCTATTGTATATAGGTCTCCACGATTTTTCTTTTATTTCTGCAGTGTTGGTAGAAGACCACTTAAGCTTTTGAGTCTAAAACTCCATTTCTTGTTTAATTTTAACAATCTTGATTTTCCATTTTTTTCCCTACTCCACAG